TTTTAAGCCTAAGAGGTCTACCATTGACCACATACTGACTCTGAAGGTACTCATTGAGCGCAAAACAAAATATCTGAGTTTTTTTGCAGCCTTTGTCGATTTTCGTAAAGCATTCGATTCAGTTTATTGAGTTGCCCTGTGGGATATCCTGAGACTTTGAGGGATCCCCCATGAAGTTGCTGGAGGTCACAGCCAGACTGTACACTGGTACAGCGAGTACTGAGTAGAGTGGGGGCAGAACCTCTGTGTTCTTCCCAGTTGATTCTGGGTTCGCCAGGGGTGTGTTCTTGCTGCTACTCTGTTCAATGCTTGTATGGCCTGGGTGTTGGGCATGGTCATGGGGTCCAGTGGCTGTGGAGCATCTTTTGGTGAAGAAAGACTCACTGATCTTGACTTTGCCAACCATGCAGTGATCTTCGAGGAGTCAATGGAGGCTCTGATCGGGGTTCTCGAGAGACTGAGCTAGGAGTCTGAGTGTCTGGGCTTGTGAGTCCTCTAATGGCCTCTTTGGCACAGCCATCAGCAGTGCCTCTGTCTGTGAAGAGAGTGTCAAACGCATCGGGAGGTTCACTTACCTAGGCGGCGACATTCATGTCTCTGGTGACTCTTACTCTAAAGTCAGTAGACTGATTGGGAGAACATGGGGAGTCATGAGGTTTCCGGAATGGGGTCTATAGCGTTACCAATGTCTTTGTAAGAGGATGAACATACAAGTAATTAGAGCCCTGGTGCTCCCTGTCTTGCTGTATGGCTGCGAGATATGGACGCTATCCAGTGGCACGAGATGAAGACTGGATTCCTTTGGTACTGTGTCTCTTTGGAGAATCTTTGGGTACCGCTGGTTTGACTTTGTCTTGAATGAGCAGTTGCTCAGGGAGTCCCAAATGAGGTACATTACCTGCATTGTGAGGGAGCGTGAGTTACGACACTATGGCCACATGGCGCAATTCTCTGAGGGTGATCTGGCTCACAGAATCCTCATTGCTCAGGACCTGAGCGGCTGGACCAGGCCAAAGGGATGCCCAATTAACACCTGACTGCAGTACATGGCCATTTCCGGAGGGTGAGACTGGACTGTATGTTGCCCTTTGGGGTTGCCCTGGGTGGCGATAGCTTGATGATTAGGGATGCGCACTTGTAATTGAAAGATTGTTGGTTCGAATCCCTGACCAGCAAGGCATCACTGAGGTACCCTGAGCAAGGTACCGTCCCCAAGTGCTGTCCCCTGCTATGTCACATATGGGTTAAATGCAGAGAACACATTTTGTTATTGTGCACTCCATGGTGTGTCAACAATGACAATTAATCACTAAATTCACTAAAAATTCACTAACCAGGATTCTGAGGTGTTTCAGTATGTGGTGGATGCTGCAACGCGCTGTACCAGTCCACGCTCCCTGACCCTACCTTATACATTTTATACCTTTACTGGCAGTTATCTAAATTAAGCTCTGAGCATGCATTAAAAGGTGAAAGCACACCCGAAGAAAAACTTACCGAAGTACATCATCAACAGCCATTTTGCAGTTTGCTTTCAGTACAATAGAGAATCACAATTTAATTAGCCATTTAGGGAAAAAGATGGGATTGAGGTCATGCTGGAACAGAGGGGTCAGCCCCACTACTCTTTGCGATAAGTGCCCTGTGATCCTTAATGACCTCATTAAATCAGAACTAGAGTCATCTCACCCAAAAGGCGTGACCCCCCCACAGCACAGAATACAATAGCAGGGGGTGTTCCTTTGATCCACAAAGCTTCTGATTCAACACCCAACATGCTTTCCCAGCAAGTCTCTTGTCCAGGTGCAAATTACATACAAAAGATGCCTCTTAAGTAAACACAGTAAACTGACGACGTATGTGCTGTCCATGGGTATTCAGAAAACCGAGAGCAACTGACTAATTCTGCAACACAATCTAATTATTGTGATGTGCAAATTTTATGGATCTAGCGCTTACTAAAAGGGTAAAGGATATACCTGTCTGAGTACCATGTTTTATAATTGTTCCTTGCTGAAAATCTGCATCCCAAAATGATCTAACCTTACAATTTCAACCTCAGGTGTGCTTGCAGAAAGCACAGATTTTGAAACAGACTTAATTAAATCTAATTTGTTCTTTGTCTATTAAATTAATAGTTATAGCCTGAAAATGGTCTTATGTAGTTGTTTATTAGCTGGCTATGCTTAAGTTTTCAGGTTCTACCCATTTGTTTGGTATTACAATTACAATTACAATTAGAATTAACTTTATTTATCCCAGAGGGAAATGCTAGAATAGTGCTTTATGCGGTAATGTGTGCGCATGATCACGTGTGTTAATGCCGCAGGGCGTTCCTTTACATGTTAACGCAGGAGTTGGTGGTCATGCTGCAGTGTTACAGGGACTGCTGCTGATTCAGGAGTTCTGGAAGCCGGTTCTGGAAGCGGGTTATTGGGAGGGAGAGGAAGGGGGAGGGGTGACTGGTCAGTGAGAATAGCTGTTCTTTGTGCTCACAAATCCCAGGGGAATCAGTTGCCCGTTGTGGCTCCTTTTTAGGAGTGATGGACAGAGAGCTGAGAGGGGATTTCTGATAGAATTGCGTCGTAGCTGATGAGATGACTAGTGTGTTTTTTTTTTTTTTGTCTTTCTTTTTGTTTGGTTACTCTGTGCTATCCCGTGGGTCACCTGTGACCCTAGCAGCCCTTGGCCAACCAGGCACAGGTGTGCTTACTCAGGTGTGATGTGGAAGCACAGTGAAGATAATGCCGACATTTATCTATCTTCTGCTCGTTCTAAACAAATGGCGCAGACAAACAGCAAATGGAAAATTTTTGGAATTGTGGAACCTCTCTCAAGAGCGTGAAAAGGTTTATAGCTGTTATTTTATGCACTCTGAGGGACTTCAGTGCTGGATCACGGTAGTAGAAGAATTTATCTTTGAGGAAGCCTCCACATTTTTCAGAATGTTTGTCTATGAATATTTTATTTGACAACACTTATAAAGCACAAGTTTTGTAAGAGACCTGCAAGGATTTACAAAATGTTTCTTCTCCTCCAGTTAGTGACGCAAATCCCTCAGTTGTACAGATCAGTGATACCGAGGAGAGCAGCTTTGAATGCAGTTCCTGCTGGGTTTCGGATCAGAAGGGCACATTTCATTCTACATCATTTGTCTTTTTTAATATTTTAAGACCTTTGGAGAATCCTTTGTTTCCACAAGCAGTGCCCAACTATCTGTTGTCAGGGAGACCATTAAGTATGGACGCCTGGCTTAATTGCAACCTCGGGCAGTCTTCACAGGTTGAAAACTCTCTTTAAACACACTCACTGTCTCTCTTTCTCTCTCCCTCTTACAAACACACACGCATGCGTGCATATTCTGTAGTACGCACTCTCTTCTCTGGCAAACAGAAAGAAAATGCTTTCTGTCGGTATTTGAAAGCATTTGAAAAAAAGACCTATTCAGCTGCTTCCCCCCTTTATTAACACGCATTTCTGGACCGCACAAAGCCCCAGAAACGGAGGTGGTCCCGTGCACAGGTATGATGTCCTTTTTCATTCCCAGTGCTCGCCATCCATTGGCTCAGCAACACTGAAGGCTTTTGTTCTCTCCCTCCCTCTCTCTCCCCCTTCGCCGGAGAGGGTGAATGGAAATACACACTACTGCGCCGCGCCGTTCAAAGTTCTCCTGTGCTGCGGCGCAGCGGGCCAGCTTGGCCGGCGGAGTCCGGGACGCCAGGGCGCTGATTGGCCGAGATGATTTCCACCTGCTGGCCGCAAGCGCCGCAGCCTCCATCCCCCTAATCTGCTCTGAGGCTCCGCGGGGACCAGCCGGGGGGTTTCCTCGCTTCTCCGAGACCAAGCTTCGTCCAGGGATTTTCGGTTTTTACGGTCAGTGTTCGGTAATGCGACAGATGGTGCCCATTTCTTTTATTATGCGACCCGTGCTAAGATGTTATATATTTTCAACGGGTTTATCAAGTAATAATTATTTATCCGAAGATGAATAGCATCTCTATATCTTGTTTACATTGTTTTTTTCTGCATTGATCCTTGACACTTTTTGGTATATAATGTAATAAAAATCGCATGCCGAGGATGCAAGTTAAAATCTGTGTAACATTCCTATCCAATTTACCCAGCCACTGGCAAAAATGATCAGTCGTTTTTTAGTTGCGTTAACGCAGAAGACATGTAATATTTGTTAAGTTTTCATTTAAAATAATGCATCGGTAGCATCTGAAATGCATCGTCAAAATTTCAACAAGTGTACTTAGGTTTTATTGGAGTTACATTGATTTGCGGTAAAACCAGAGGTTGTTCTTGTAATATTCAAACCATCCCATAAAATAATGTACATTAACCAGTAACGCGGATAGAAAATAGTCGAATTAGACTAAGTCTTGAATATTTTTTCACTTTTGTGGTTGTGACGGTACAGGCGGAACAGCAGGATACCATGCAGGACGTCTGTAAATTTCCAAGCTGTTCTCCCTGCTTACGCATTTATCAGCATATTTCCATCACGATTTACATTTTAGGATACCGCTGTTTGTTAAGGTCTGTAAGCCAGTTATACTGTTTGCTTTATTCTTTATATATCGCAGTTTCCATGCTAACGTTGATTTTCCGATCTGCAGTGTTGTGTGCCATAGCTCTGGAAATGAAAAACAACTACAGAGCCGTACCTTGAAGTATTCTCGAAGTAAACTAGTATTATATGTAGTGTCCTGGTCGAAGTACGCTGCTTGTTTGGGAAACTTTTTTGCATAAATATCTATAAATACTGTAACAGCTTCCCCAGCCACTAGGGGGCTTCGGGATTCCACAGAGGGTCACATATCGTAATGCATCGCCTCGGGTTTACCCTGGGGGGTGGGGGGTGGTATTCATTTGTTTATGGTTGCTGAGCACGCAGGTTTTTTAATCCCAGTTTGGCTTTTAAAATTGCGATAGCGAGGCTGTGTCATCTTTCTTAGGGCTTTCAGTTAGTTTGACAGTTAGTGTCATCTACATACCTGTCACTGACTCCATCACCTGGGTTCTTTCTTACATCATGTACTTTGTCCACGATGAAATTGCAGCAGTCCTTACGTCTGTCTCACCTAAAACAGACAGTGATTCGGTAATCTGCTTTGGGTTATCACTGCAACTTTGTCTCGATTATGTTTGTTGTCAGTGCAGGTGACAGGTTCAGAATCAGAATTCTTTACTGCCTTTGCACGACTGCACATTCAAACGACAAAAAAACTGTTTATTTCAAGGCTAATAGGAGCATCAATAAACAACAACAGCAACAACAACAACAATGACACGTCAGGTTGTATTTCAGGTAACCTACCTGGCTAATTACCACTGGAGTAAATTAAAAGGAATTAACGGCGTTGAAAGTAGCGGAGGTTGATTGGTGGATAATGTGTTAATTGGCAGCTGGTCTGTTCAATGCACACTGCGCCGTATGGCTTTTTATTCCTATCTGACTGTCATAAGGGCTCATATAGGGATGGAAGCCATGCAGTGCACTGTGTTCCAGCCGAACTGGCCAATCACAGAGCATCCCTCTCCCCCATCCCTTTCCAAAAACATCAAACCCTCCTCTTCTCCCCTGCAATGGTTTTCCTACAGCCTTCTAAAGATGAGTACCCTACAATGCGTTATCCCGGCTGTAACCATCTCCGTCGGATGTGTATGCGGCTGCTGACCCCATGAAACCTCAATTCAGTCTTACCAGCAGATACACCTGTGCACATGAATTCACATGCATGACACTGAACTGATGTTCTTCCATGAATTTCATTCTGGAATTACTATGTGTCGGGGCTACATCTGGGTCCACTGCACCAGACCACTGTTGCTCATCTTCCTACAGTTCGGTTCAGGGCTAAACGTGAAGGTGCAGTGTAATCTGCACTTCCCACCAGCTGTGACATGCTCGCACGCTGAGATCCCTGAAGAAATGTCATTTAGCATGTCCTGGTTCACAGGCTAAGAGCCACAGCCACCCACATAATCTGATTATTTCTGGAAATACTGCTGCTTCAGTCAGGATAAACATAGTGTCATAATTATGTTTGCTGTACCGACAATAACTTTAGCATGAATTGGGCTGTAAAACTCCATGAGAGCTGAAGAATAAAAGCCTTATATTACAGGATTATTGGCTGATAAAGTGAATTATTAATAAGAACACATAATAGATAACGTACTGATGTCATACCAGTGTCATAGTTTACCCAGAGCCAGATCTGTCTTTTCTACTTGTGAGCCGTCCTACCAAGAAAACTTATGACCATTTCACTTCCTCCACAACGCAGGTAAATCAGGGACATAAGCAAATGCCTGTTCTGCCAATAGCAAGAGCTGGCCCTGCGTCTAGGGGAAAAGAACAGACAAACACAATAAAACAAGCTGTATAATATGAAACACACTGTCATTGTCGCTCCTTAAACGTCTATAATATTGAGGGGTTATTTATACAGAAAACTGGAAAGAGGATATTTCCACAGTACTGTTCCCTCATCCTGAATTCCCTTATTTATGTATTATGTATGTATGTATGTATGTATGAGAAATTAAACATTGTTTATTTTCAAGAATATATACATCAGATTTTCTTTTTTTTGAAGGAGGTGGTGTACAAAAAAAATGAAGTTGTGTTAGTCACTTGATTTACAGGTTACATAATCTTTATGTCAAACTGTACTTCTGGTTCTAGACATAGATAATTAAATTGCACATAACCTGTAAAAAAAATGGGTAAAAGTCTAGAATTGCACGTAGGGTTGGATGAAAGTTTAGTTAATGAAAAATTTTAAGTATAACAGCACTATGTAAAATGCACAGTTCCGGAACTAACGAAAGATAGCGTGGTAGCGCAGAGCATTAGCACCTGCAGGGTGTCAGTCTCCCCTTGTTACACGCGTTTTCCTGCAGTTCAAAAGGCACAGAGTTAGGCAAATTGGTTGCCCATTGTGTGTGAGTGCATGTGGCCTTTGAAGGACTGACACCCCAGAGGGGATGCCAGTCCTACCCCCGCATTGTGCCCCATGGTGCCTGAGACAGGCTCCACGTCCCACTGTGACCCTGACCAGATAAGTAGCTGGACGATACATGAAACGTAATGAAAACTATCTTTCACCAAACCTCATGTTATCTGACCAAAAGTTCAATATCATAATGTGTATTTCTTTAAACTGTGATATTTTAACTCTGAATAATCTTCACTGATGTGTTTACAAATGAAACACAGAGAACCATCTGAAGATTAATGCTACATTTTCTTATCTTCTCTCTAAAGGGAACTCTTACACAACCTCCCTGAGACTTGACTATATCCTCAATAAACTACAAGATAAAACCCTACAGGTCACCTATAGGTGTTCGCTGAATGCTAGATTTTTAATTTTATTTATGTGTCATTTTGTTCTCCTTCCCATTAGCAGGACTGCTGCTAATGCAGAGATCACAGAAGAGGAGAGGTAGGTGAACAATAAGGAGAGAAGGAAGGGCGATGACTAAACAGGAAGTGCGGAAGGTCATCTTGGAGGTTATGCAGATCCTGCAACATTTGGGCATATATAGACAATATGACAGCAGATAGCAGACGTCAAGCCAAAAGCTTGGTTCAAATCCCAAGAGGGTTTTACCATTGTGCCCTTAATCTGAGTGCTATATATAAATTGGTCTAATAAATGATTCATCTGTATAATTTAAACTGTCAAGTAACTCTGCATCAACTCTGCACAAAGATGTTTTCTGAGAAATTAAATAAACTGTAGACCTCCTGCTTGCCCCCTTGCGTGTCTGTTGCCCTGGATCTTGCCCCTTTGCCTGCCTGCAGCTGTGGTCCATGCCGCTGGCAGACATGGACTCATGTTCTGAACATTTGGAGATGATGTTTGGCCCAGTCTGTCTCTCTGGGTGTCACATGCACCCCTTTCCTAGAGAGTTCAGATAAAATTATCTTGTGAACCCAATAAAACACAATAATGGGCCCTTTACTGAAATTCACTTGGACATGAAAATAATAGTTTATTAAAATTAGGATGAATCTGAAATGTAATTCCTTTATGTCTTACATATGACATTTGAAATGACTCAATGTGGTTGCGGGTTTGATATTTCTCTCAAGGCTTTATGTAAAGAGCTAGTATGAAGGTTTCATTCCATAATCTGTAGACATGTTGCAAAGTTTGGTAGCTGTTTTTACACTTCAAACTTCTGTAATGTTACATCTGTAGTGCGTGAGTGTGCAGCCTATACGGGCATCGCATCCAGGGACTCCCCTACTTTGTGTCCATAGGCTTCAAGCTCGCTGCAACTCTGTGCTGGATAAGCGGCTGAGGTTGGACAGGTGGATGAAAAAACCTACTGAAAAACCACTGGCACGAATCCATATTCCAACTACTTATCCTGAGATTGGCATATATAATAATTAGGGCTGTCAAAATTAACGGGTTAACGATGATTAATCCATCATCATGATTAATCTGATAAAAAATTTTAACGTAATTAACCCATCTGCAGCGCAGAATGACTCAAAATCCATGAAATGTCTCCGTCAACTAGGGTGACCACCTAATCCATGTCAGGAGGGACACTATGAGCTACTTCAGCTTTTACGAACTACTTTAAAGCTGAAAGGGTTCTGTGCTCTGCTAAAATGTTTGGTTAGTTCCTAGATTGAAAGACTCATCCAGCTGTTTCGCATTAACATTACTGACACATATGCATGATTATATGAGACTGACCAATCAGCACACAGCAAGAACCCAGTGCTTAAGTGAAATCCTGCTCCTTTTAATTGAAATGTATGAAATGGTGGTTTACAAATCCTGTTGTAGCTCATAGTGTCCCTCCTGACATGGATTAGGTGGTCACCCTACCGTCAGCCCATTTCGGGCAGTTTTGGTGCGTTCCATTTGCCCTGGGAACTCCTATTCCGAGTCGGATTCCGAGTTTTGAAGCCGGAAGTGACGGCATGCGCGGTCCCGTTTCTCGGAGATCCGAGAAATATCTCGGAGCAGCACAGAGGATCCCGACTCCCGAGTCCAGAATCCAAGATGGCTGCGCCCTTTATAAACAGAAGGGAAAGTTGTAGTTTTATACTGTTTAAGCACTACTTCTCATTTGTGGCTCATTAAATCAGTCGCACACACTATACCGTCCAACTTATCTGTGGACGTGTTGCTACGGAGTTTTATACGTAAAGCACCGCGTGTAATGTGTTATCAACTGATATTGCTAACAATGGCAATTAGCCGGGCTAGAATTGGATTTCATGATTAGTTGGATTATTTGTCGGATTTACGGTAGTTCGGGCTAATTGTAAGTGAACGAAGATAAAGACCATTTAAACTGAGGTACCTGTCCGGCTAAGCAAAACATTTTGCTTTTTGATATGGGTCCATGGTATTGCACTTCTGTGGCAGATGGAATGCATCCGACTCGTGTTCAAGATGTTCAATAAACATGTTAAGTGCATATATATTCCCTTTTTTCTTGAGTCTGTTTGCTCATGCAAAATGAAATGCGATTAATATAGATTAAAAATGAATTATATTTAATCGTGATTAATCGAAATTAATCCACAGCAACCCTGTGATTAATCTGATTAAAAAATTTAATCGACAGCGCTAATAATAATATATAAAGTAAACGAACATTTATACTAACGTAGTTATGGATGCAATTACTTTAAATAACATAATACTGAATTTAACACTACCTTAATATACACTTTAATATCAAGCTAAAAGGCCGTTTGTTTACTGATAAATTCACAGATATGAAAATTTGGAAAAGCGAGGAGTGGAAATCTACCGACGGTAACCTTTAAAATGATTTTGTAAATAATAAAGTAAGTCTTCTTGCGTATATTGTATTAAAGCGATACACCGAGGTACTACCTTCCTTCCTTCCTTCCTTCCTTTCTTTCTTTCTTTCTTTCTTTGGTTATAAAGCGTTACGCCACTGTCTAGTACGTGAAATTTCTTTTTACAAGGTGGTTGGAGAAAACTTATTTATATTCATGAAAGAAGCTACCTGATTGGCCGGTGAACGTGCTCCCAGCGACATGTGCTATTTGTTTCTTTAGGGTGGTTCAGGGAAATTCATTAATATTCATGAAAAAAGCTATCTGATTGGCCACTGAACGCATCTAAGGCATTTATTGGCCAATCAGGTAGCGCATCTCTCATGAATATGAATGAATTTTCCCGAACCACCCTGTAAAACGGAAATGGATGTGACGTTAGATCGGTCTCCCCTGCCCGGCCCGGCCTCTGCCAGCTGCAATGCCGAGTAACCGCGGTAGCTGCATCTTATGCAACCTGTCTACACAGGCAATTGTGGCCTGTCTCTGCAGTCTTTGGTTTTAAAATTCAAAGCGTCTCCACCGCTGCCTTTTACTTGCTTAAACTACCTCTTGGTTGTGTTTCTCCTGGAAAATGGCCAAACGTAAAGGCTCGATCGGTGCTGTATCTAAAGTCGACACAAAGAAGCTGAAAGAGTCGGCGAATGCAAAAACTAAAGGAACAAAATGCAAAAAAGAAGCAGGTACTGTAATGGGGGTCTTAAACGAAAACATGAATCTCTCTGCTTATTGTAATATAGGGATTTCGGAGAAGCCGATGTAATTCAAGCACGTTACATGTTAATACAACGAACGTCTTTTCGTGAAATGTGTGTCAGCTGCATGACAGCAGTAAACATGCGAGTTTTAATGTTTTTGATCTCATTCAGGATGCAGCTGTCTTCCTTCTTAGTTCGTTAGTTTGCTGATGTGAAACTTAGAGAAACTTCATAACAAATATATGTGTATACAGGGCTCGAGTTGTAATGTGATGCACATGCCCCCCGTGAGGAAAAAATTACAAAAAATATCCCCTTCGAAAATGTACTATGCCCTAAATTGTTCTCTGTAGAAATTCTCTACATGTAAATCCCAGACTGTATCAGGCAGGTTTGGACTGGGATTCATCTGATCACGGCTTTAGTGTCCCCCACGGTAAATTGAGTTGAGCTGGGGGGGGGGTCCCCATGATAACTTGCCAGCTGAGGCCCTGCAAAATGCTTGGCATGCCAGATGGCCAGTCCAGCTCTGATCTCAGGGGTATTTAACTGGGGGACTGCGGTCCAAAACAACTTAACATGTACTGGTTATATGTGGTTAGAGTATGAATCAAATTACGGACATGTATAATTTGAAATTTTATATAATTTGTGAATATGAAAAATGTCCAATATTGGAGATTAACAAAGAGTAGCCAAGAGGTTATGATGGATCCTGTATGGTCTTGACTATTGAACCAAAATGGTAGCCATTTTCGCTTCTTTTTATGTTTATTCTGAATAAAAATGTTAGCCAATTAAATGCATTATTTTACTACTCATTATTATTTTTCTTGTACCCTCAGACACTGAAGTAGCACGTCTCATATCTGCTGAAAAAACAACCAAAAAAACCAAGATTCAGAAGTCCAGGCCTAAAAAGAACACGCCAGGTCAACGGACAAGCAAATACTTCCAGAACGACTTTATCACCATAAGTGATGATGAAGATGAAGATGATGATGAGGATGGTGATGCTGCTCCGCACTCTGACAATGAAGCTGCAGAACTGAAGGTGGAAAATAAAGTGGAGGGCAGTGACGAAGACGAGGATGAAGAGTGGGAAGATGTGGAAGGTGGGAGGTGATGTGCTGGTCCGTGTGGAGCTGGATGGGTGTGCCTGTGGGTGTTGACTGCTTTTTGTAATCGCTCCTTCTTCCCCCCTCAGAACTGGCAGACACGTCTTGTGTGGTGCCATCTCAACCTGTGGAGATTGAAATCGAAGCCCCAGAACATGTCGCGAAAAGACTGAAGAGGTGAATGGGCCTGTGTGTTGGCAGTGTGGTCGTCTTGACATCAGTCCACTGAACCGCTCACTCTAATGCCAGTTGTGGTTTACTGTGCAATTCCAAAATGGCTGAATGGCTGATTGTTTTTATATTTTTAACTATTGTAAATTGTAGCTTTAAATTCTTGTTTATTCTTGTTTGCACAGTCTTTGGATCAGTCAGGGTTCATTTCACTACATGTTGTACTTGTTATAATTATATATGTGACGAATAAAGACTCTTGAATCTTTAAACCAGCAGTGTGGACACTTTCAAACGGCATTTAAAAACTTTTTTTTTGTGCAGACAAGTCTTGAAATTTGAATATTTTTGTTATATTTCCTGTGAAGCACTGTGACATTTGTTCTCGAAAGGTTCTATATTAATGAAGTACTTAATTATAACTATTTAAGTTTCAGAAAGTAGTCTTTCTGTATAACTTTAAGAAGAAATCCAGAAATGTTGCAGAATTCTCAGTTTACAAGACTATTTTGGACATAAGGTCCTACCTATACTGTGAGGGAGACTTATGTCATTATGGCAACTGTAACACATCTGTCTTTCTCAGGGAAAAGAGGAAAGTAGAGTTTGAGACTTACCTGCGGCGGATGGTGAACCGTTTCAACAAAGAGCTGTTTGTGGACATGCACAAGGTAAGTTTCAGTGTCAGTCGGCCTGTTTTTCTCTTAGTGTCTTTCGTATTGCTTTGTCTTCACCGGGGGAAGGCAACTCTGATGATGGATTTCTTACAGTTAAACCATGTTAGAAATAAGGAATAATCTCTTGTCTTTGGTGTATCAGTCATATTCATGAGTTACCCTAAAAAAGACTCAAATCATCACAGCAAATGATCAGTGTTTAATTTTTAGTTGATGTGCATATAAACCCTTAAATCTATCCCTGAGTAAAAAGGATCATTTTTAGGATTACTCCCTAGTCCGGACTTTTTTTAAGTCTGTCTTTTTTTCTGTTGACATCTATTTCTGTTGGCTTCTTGTGGATATTATCCGTATCCTTACCGCAATCCATTCCTGTTAACGCCACCTGTAGGTCCACCTCCTCTGTCTGGTGGCCAATGGCATGTTTCGGAGCCGGCTGTGCAGTGACCCCGACCTTTTGGCGGTGGCCTTGTCCCTGCTGCCGGCTCATTTCACCACAACGCCTCCCGAGGAGGTGACCACCCCCTTTCTGTGTGGCCTGCTGAAGTGGTAAACGTCGGGACCGGTCAGCTGCTTGCGTCGCGTCATGCCGAGAGTAACCATTCCAAGCGAGGTGTCCACGTACATTTCAGTCATACCTGCTACCCCTTCCCCCAGGTTTCAAGCCACCTTCACTCTGACCCTGGAACTCCCTGAGGAGCCTGAGCGGAATCCCCGGGAGATCTTGGAGAGGAGGTTAGGGTCCCTCTCTGCTCGAGACCACCAGGAAATGACTCATGTGAGCAATGTTTTTATTTTTTTTGTGTGTTTCATAAATAGCATTGCCGTGTAGTCTCGTCTCTCACTTCTTGTACTAATGCGCTGCACTGACTTGTAAGTATCTTTAGAAAATAGGGTCAAACCCATCCATCTTCTAACCAGTTATCCTGGTCGGGGTCAAACGTAAATGGAAATTCCTTATGAAAAATTAACAACTCTAGTAATAAACCTTTTTAAATGCTTTTCAAGTGTGTGTATGGGAATATGTGCTCACTTAGCATCCATTTCATTCCTGTGTAATTTTGTCGTCTGTGACCATGCCTCCCTGCAGCTCTTCCTCATCGTGTTGAGGTCACTGCGTTTATTTTGCCGCCTGGTAGTTTCCCTGCAGCCCATCCCCCTCAAAGAACCCCCTGCAAAGGTAATTCTTTGCACGCTTTGTATGCAATTATTAGCATGACGGATAAAAATGAACCTGCAACTGTTGCACACTGGATAGTCATCAGGGTTTTGCAGTGTGTCCCACATGTTGGGTTAAGCTTAGTTAAAGACTATTTAGAGGATTTGTTCAACTGCTGGCCCCGCAGAAAAGCACACCTTTACAGCATTCAGGTTCCCTCCATTGTATATGAATCTTAAGGTCTCTGACACACAGTGGTTATGCTGCTGCAGTGCAAAGTCTGACATACTTAAATCCTAGATGGTCAGGGTGTACGGGAAACTGGCTGAGCCAAGTCTGTGTTCCAGAACAAAGCAAAGTCGCCAGGCGGTACTCCCCAAAAAAGCCCCAAGGAACCAAAGGCCTCACCAGGGACCAAGAGATCCGCAGGAGGCAGGGCTAGTGGGGCAGGGCGAAATGTGAAGAGACAGCGGAAGAAGGTGGAGGAGGAGGAGGAAGAGGAGGATGGGGAGGAGCAGGAAGCAGAAGCGGTGACCACACCGACACAGAGACCGAAGAACAAGCAGCGACGGAGCATCGCCTCCAAGGTGTACTACAAGGAGGAGAGCAGTGAGGGGGAGGAGCACAGCGAGGAAGAGGAGTTCCTAGTGTCTGAAGAAGAAGAGGATTCAGAGGGGGAAGCCACAAGGCGACCAGACAAAAAGGGCAAGGGTAAGAGCAGGAGCGAGGCCTCCCAACGCCAAGGGAGCCGAAACAAAGGGGGAGACGAGGAGGAAGTACTGATGGAGTTCAAGAGGAAGCAGGGAAAGGGTGAAGACGAGTGGCTGGAGGTGCACCTGCAGCAGGCGGGGGAATGGGTGTGTTTGGACGTCCAGCAGGGGAACGTGGGCAAGCCACTCCTCTGCTCCAAACGGGCCACCCAGCCCCTGACCTATGTGCTGGCTGTGGACGGGGACGGCTGCCTGAAGGACCTCGGCTGCAGGTACGACCCCACCTGCATGACGGCATCCAGGAAACGTCGTGTGGATCAGGAGTGGTGGGAGGAGACCCTCGACAGCTTCCGTAGCCGTGCCTCGAAGAGAGAGCAAAGGGAGGACCAGGAGGTGAGAGGCTCTGACCTTGGGGGTCATTAGACATTTAGTAAAGTGTCCTGCAGTTCATCATCTTGGCCTGGATCCTAGATAAATGTAGGAGTGCATAATGATTCCACTCAGGCTGTCGCGATCATGAAATTTAATTTCATTTTATCCTGTGACTTGGTATTTTGCTATACCTATAGCTTTGGTTCACTTTGAACCAAAATATGAAGTCTGGCATATTGTGCGTTTGTTTCCACCAAATTCGTATCACTCCCAATCAGTGGGATCAGAAAAAAATGGACAAATTAACATAAATTCTCTGGTTGTTTTTTTTTTTTTCCCCGGTTGGTGTAATGTACTGACTTGGCTGCAGCATAAATAGTGGCAGCCATCAAGGAAATATGCGGTCACCCCATCACGACCAGGGTTCCTAATCAGACCCATAAACACGCACTCAGACAGGTGCTATGCAGAACTTTTATTAAACACACAGGGATCACAAAGAATGCAAAATCAGAATATCTGGCTGAATATCCCATTCTGGGCTGGTGGAGGTCGCTCACAAGCAGTTCATAAAATACACCTGATGTCCTGAAAATAAACATTAACAGGATCAGGCTGGGTTGTGAAAATGTCATGAAACAATGTGGTACAAATTGGGCACCATCGTGAAATATGCTGTGAAGTGTGATGCAAGGTACAGGTAGGTCAGATGGTCACTACAGCATCTGAGTCAACCGTTTATTTGAGTTTCACATGCACTGCTGATCTGAGTCAACAGTGTTAAACTATCCAAGTAATAAAGGAATTTGGACCATTGGCCAAACCTGCACCCTTACCAATTATAGAAAGTTAAGGCCCATTTCATGTATTTCTGTAAATTTTCATAAAATGGCTGATTACCTTTTTCTGTATTTACACTGGCAAAGCCCCTTATGGGAACTGGACATATATATTTTTTGTATTTGGCTTGCTTGTAGATAGTTTTCAGGTTTCGTTATTTTTTTAGTTGCTTATATATTTGCCATTCAACACTGGCACCTGCGTGACTCAGATCCTGCAGTGAAACGTGATACGGATCAGTAATATGACATTTCTGTTTCGTCTAGCTGTTTTGATACAGATGAATGGAAGCAGTTCTCACAATTATTTAAAATAATCACGGTCAGCTCAAATAATCACGATTGTGACAGGGCCAGATACCATAGGAAGTAATGTACATTTAAAGATTCTACAGATACTGATTCAGCTATTTTTAATTCAAAGTGTACAAGATAAAAACGTCTTCCTGCTTTAAGTTGCTGGCAGATGCCTCCTGTCGGATCTTGGTGTCCCTTTTGATAAAGATGTCTAAGTATAACCGTAATAAAGTATTTCCCTGGCAAGAGCAATTTTTCTATTTTTTTTTATTTATTTTTTTGAGCAGAGGTGTTGGTGGGTCAATAATGCAAGCATGAAAATGATAAAATTTTAAGCTAAACTCTGCCCTGAATTAGATAATACATTTCTGACCCGATGGCCATCAGGTCAACAAAGCAGTAAAGGACTATATGTAGTAGTATTTATAGTACTTATAGTATTTATGTAATTACAGTAGTATAATTACAATGACAAAACCATACTGGAGTTATGATGCAGTGTAAATGGCAAAAAGAAAGAAACGTCAAATAAACTGGAAGGTGAGCAGTACAGACACATGTAGCGTTACACTGTTGCAATCTTTACTTTCTGCTCCAGCTCCAGGCGAAGCTGTTGGACAAGCCTCTGCCAACTTCCATCACAGAGTACAAAAACCACCCCCTGTATGCGCTACAGAGACACCTGCTGAAATACGAGGCTATCTACCCCTCCACTGCTGCCATCCTGGGCTATTGCAGGGGAGAGCCAGTCTACTCCAGGTACCTACAATCCTCCTCCTCCAAGTCCTCTCGCTCTGCAGCACTAGTCGATGTTTTAAGTGTGTGGCTATTCTGTAGATGTGTTAATTTGCAGTGACTGATGGTGTAGAATTGTGCCGTCCAGCCTGTGCATCTGGACTGTGAGTGTAGTCTGTACTTCAATGGAGTCCTGAAGAGGTTACCTTCACAGGGACTGTGTTCACACGCTGCACTCGAGGGACACCTGGCTTAAGGAGGCACGGACGGTGCGACTGGGGGAAGTGCCATACAAAGTAATGTCCCGTGTGTGTGTGTGTGTGTGTGTGTGTGCGTGCATTTGCGCGCAAGCATGTGTGTGTCTTTTCAACAACTTGTCTTACATCATTGATTCTCAGTAAAATCTGTAGTGAATAAAATACTTTATTTCTTCTTCAGCTATTGTAATAGTTTTTTAGTCCTTTAAGTAGCGATTTGTATTAATAATGACGACAATACTAGGTATAAGGTTCCTTTTCCGCCATTTACATTTACAAATGTTTTTTATGTGTGTATAACTGCTCGTAGGACTTTTACTTGCACAAAATTGTTCTGAGGGCAGAAGGAAAAATTATCAGAGAGAGAACCAGATCGTAGAGGAAGTGGGTCCAAGCAACAAGAGGAGGTGGGACCAAGACATCTGATTGGTTGGTCCTGCCTTCTCTAGTTACTTGGATCATTTTTCCTACTGCCCTCAGAACAAACTCCCATGAGCTATATTAGCCAATTCAGTTTAATTTCAAACAATAACCTTCTTAAACCTACCAAAATCAGTTATATCAAGCTTTTCAACTAGTACAGTCATTCATGATGCCGTGATTTAATGCTGTTGATCCTGTTTGCTTTCTCCCCCATTCCAGATGGTGAAAGGGTTCTCTAACCGTTCTCGGAAGGCCAGGCTGGTGCCTGAGAACCGAGACATTGATGACCTGCCGCTGTTTGGCCCCTGGCAGACAGAGGAGTACCAGCCCCCTGTGGCTGTAGATGGCAAGGTACTGACCCTCAGAAGGACCCTGGCAGCAATCTTGCTTTTCAGTGAATGTTTCCCAATGTGTTGGATGTGCATCTGGGGGCATAATGTGTGTTTTTTTTGTTTTTTTTTTTATACTAGGTTCCCCGTAATGATTACGGGAACGTGTACATGTTTCGCCCCTGCATGTTACCAGTGGGCTGCGTCCACCTGCGGTTGCCCAATCTACACAGAGTTGCCCGCAAGCTGGAAATCGACTGCGCTGCTGCTGTCACTGGCTTCGACTTCCATGGTGGTTTCTCGCATCCAGTGTAAGACTGACTAGCCATGTTTACATACCACTCTTTTGTTTTTATGGGGATGACACTTAGACACACAATTCCGCACATGTTCTCACACACTTTGAAGTGACTTGGAGAGATAAGAACATCAATACCATGGGCAAATATAGGGCTACCCAACATTTTCATGTCCGTGGTCTGGTTAATGTCCTACAAAAAAATTCACAGACCACTAAAATGGCTGGGGTGATGCCTGGGGATCAATTGGTGATTGATGACCCCTATGCTATGTGCAACTATACACTCTTTCTTATATACAGAATATTTCTGTTTCTTACAGCAATGATGGCTACATTGTTTGTGAGGAGCATAAGGAAGTTCTGTTGGCTGCCTGGGAGAATGAGCAGGAGATCTTAGAGAAGAAGGAGAGAGAGGTGACTTTCAGCACATATGTGTGCGTGCACATGCTGTCCTGTCTGTGCACTTGTCTCTAACGTGGAGCTTGGGGGTGTCTTGCAGAAGCGGGAGAAGAGGGTGTTGGCCAACTGGACCTTGCTGGTGAAGGGACTGCTGATCAGGGAGAGGTTGAAGCGGCGCTATGGTGCCAAAAATAAGGAGCAGGCCGCTGGTCCAGAGGGACTCTCCTCTGATGAAGAAGAGGGTGATGGATCTCAAACCACTGCTGTGGACCTGGCTACCTCCTGGCCCCAGAACCGACAGGAGGAGCCGGAGGGGGCCACTTCAGGGCGAAAAGCAGCAAGCAAGAGGGATAAAAGAGGACAAGAGAAACACCTGTTCCCATTTGAGAAACTGTGAAGTGGCTGTTTACTGGTGTCATGCACATTTCTGAGGGTATCAAGCATATCAAGCATGCACAAGCAGTAACCTACACTGATCTGACTTTCTCACATATAGTCACAAAATGATCTCTCAGCTATGAATGACTTCCACGGTTTCGCACACTGCTCATGGTCTCCTCTTTGTTCTTGTGTTTTGTCACTTGTTTGTTGGAAGTTGGTAAGTTGTTGGATGTTGGGAAATTGTTTATCGGGGCCTTTTGCTTGGATCTTGCGTATACCTCTGACTGATATGTGCCCAGCTGTGTTTCGAAAGAACAAGCAAAATCATTTTCGTATAAATATAAACTATTTTTTTCTAAAAACAAATCTATTGAAGTGTGTGTGGTTTTTGTTGGTGTTCCAGTGGAAATTGGTAAAGATGGATTCAGGACTGGAAAGTATGAATGAATGTTTCCTTTAAATAACTACAGTTCCAACATAATTGTTTATTCAGTCAGCTATTATTAACCTTATGGCTCAGTTTAGCTCTTCAACTGTAAATTACTGAAGTCACCTCTGCAGTACATCTGGATCATTTTATTTCTTTTCAACAAGCAAAAATTCATGTCTGCTTATGCTTTGCTTTTTGGTACAGTGTATTAAAATGTATTTATTTGAAACAAAAACCTCATGGAAATGGGAAAAGATACATATTTACTTTCAACATGTCCTTACATGATCTTAGAGCCACACAAACCAGAAAGAATTTCTATGCACTATTTCTATAATTTCATTAAAAAACCCATTAACAACACAATTAACACTTAAATATAATTGATTATGAGTTCGGAAGATGTACAGGTACGAGGATATATTTCTTGCAAAAGACATGACCCAGTCCTTGCCATAGTACACAGTCATGCTCACAGGAGGCGGATGTGACGTAGCTGACTAATCTCCCTGTGCTTCCTGTCTTCCTTCTTGGCTGTGACTCGGTAAGCCGAACCGAATTTGTTCTTGGTCTCTCCGTCGGTCCTGTACTTGCATCGTGAGGCTGTCCAGTGCGGCCCAGAGGGGTAAGTGGAACAGGCTCCTCGTATAGGAATGTTGAAAACTGTCGGTTGTGTATTTCTGGAGCTGCTTATGGCTTCGCTCGGCCTTGTTTACATGCGAATCCTCGGGTTTGTAGTGAGAGGCGGCGGCCGTGTCGGTGGCAGGGGTTAGGAATTAGCGGCTATACAATGGAGGGATCGAGCCGATTCTCAGGGGTCTATCAGATTCTTCTTTTCTGCACAGTAAAACTACATTAAAACGTGCTATTCTGGTACTTCGATATCAACCCGCACATATTTTGATACAACTAGAGTTTAATACTTTTTATACATCTGACTTGCTGCTCTAGTAGTAAGCAGTTGTAAACAACTCGAATCGCCGTCGTGTTATTGACCGAATTGGCCATCCCGGCATTCCCCGACGTGACACGTTAATGGCGAGGTTAATCGTGGTCACTTGCTTTGCGAGGTAGCTGGTTAGCTGGCTACGCGTGTCAACCTGCATTAGTGATATATTTAGAATAGGACGGAATGCGGGGCAGTAGCCCTGGGTGCATACCCCCCTCCCGACCTCTGCCTGGGAAGCCACTCCGCTTGTTGCTTGCCTCACCACATGCCACTTTTCTTGGCGTTTTACCCACATTTACAGCCGCCTGTACCTTTCTGTTGGCTCTGAGAGAATGGTAAGCAAAGGGTAATGTGTGACCAAGAAAAAGAAATTACATTTTTTCGTGGTAAGGTGCAATCTTATCGTGCTGTTGTCATTTACACCATGGCTATTGTTGTGACTACGGGCTCCGTGAATGTAACATTGCTCTGTAATCCCTTAAGCTACGTAGCGTCAATCCGTTCACCCAGCTGCGCTATATCTGCATGTCCGTCTCTGCCCGCCTACGTTTATCTCAGACGAGCCAGAATTAGTCACATACGGCGTATTTGTTATAGTATTAATCCTAGTCAATCAGATGCACCTAATTGAGGTTGCTCAGCCCGTCGGTATTAAGTATTCGCTAGGGCTTCATATGGGTCTTCCAAATGTCACTGGACAAAAACCGTAAAAAACACAAATCCAAAATAAATCTAGAAGCTGACTGTAGGTCAGATATTCAAAGTAGCGTTTTAAAAAAGAAGGAAATTATATGTAAATAAATGTCTGTAAAATATGTAGCAGAAGTCATGTACAGGATGAATTTTATATAACAAAACAACATTGCTAGAGAACAATTGCAGTGCAAAAATAGTTAAGTAATTCAGCTTTGAGATGGTATAACTTATAGCTATCTTGACTTGGGGAAAAATGTTTAGGCTGACAGGTAAAACTGACCATTGAAAACTGTAAAGTGGTTTGTGAGGGAGTACCATTGTCTGAAGCTAGATAGGTCGTCATGGATCTGCATCGTAGCCAAAGCCTGGCCCACAGCCTCGGATGAAACTGTAAACTTCTGAATTGCGCGTCTTGATCGCAGAGCACTTGGATGTTTATTATAGTCCTGTTTTTAGTGTTGGACTGAGACCTTTGACTGAGTTAGCAGTCACTTGGAGGATGTCTCATAAAGGTTCATTTGAGGTCGTTTGTGTCAGGTCTGCAGCGTGATCTTGTCCTTCAGGATGGCAGCTGGGAAGTGTCACCATTCTTTCTGAGTGGTGGGGGCGGCTCTCATGTGACTGTAGACTTTGCATCTGGGATTTGTTGATGTGATAGATAACACACATTTCTTCTCCTGTTTCTCCCCTTTCTCCTGTGATCTGCACCTCCGTCTCCCCCTGGACTCTCCTGCCTGCGGCCTCCTGCCACTCCTTCCATTAGTTCTTTTGTCTCCGCTAAACCTGCTCCCAGTGTACCTCATGAGTGACGGGGAGTGCGACTTCTTCTGCTTCTTCCGCTGCTGCTGAGCACCAAAGCAGCAGGGAGCTGTAGTCATCCCAAGTGCTGAGGGCTGATTGGTGCGGGGGGGGCGGGGCTATTTGAGGGCGGGCCCAGGGGAATGTCTGTAGACATGAACAGCCAGGCCTCTGACAGTAACGAGGACGACATCGGCCCCAACTCTGAGGAGGAGGAAGAGGATGAAGTCGGAGAGGATGGGGACATTGCAGACTACTACGAGGGTGTCGCCAGTGACGTGGAGCAGCAGGGGGCCGATTCCTTCGACCCAGAGGAATACCAGTTCACCTGTCTCTCCTACAGAGAGAGTCAGAAAGTACTGGCCGAGGATGTGAACAGGGTCGCTAGCACCCTGAAGGTGAGGAGGTCGGGCTCAGAGGTGAAAGGATTCTCAGGGGACAAATTGCAGGCCATTTAATTCAACACTAAGCAGTTTTGAAACTAACATTTTCTGTCCATCTTACCCCTTGTAGGTGACACTTGCGGTAGCTAAGCTGGTCCTGGTTCATTTTCACTGGCAGGTGTCCATAATACAAGACAGGTAACGTCTCTCATAGAGTCTAGCTGGGTGGGGGGTGGTTCTCTGATTGCTTCTCAATATTGTTGCTCTGTGATGTATGTCGGGTTTCAGGTACATGTCCAGCTCCTCCCAACTGCTGTGTGAAGCCCTAGTCCAGCTCCATCCTGGCACCTACAGACCCATGACAGTCAGTGTTCTCTCTCTCTCTCTCTCTCTCTCTCTCTCTCTCTCTCTCTGGTTAATTGTGTGTGTGTGTACGTGCACGTGCACCTGTGTGTTCACCATTACTGGATGTGTTTATTTATTTCTTTCTCTCTTTCCCCTCTCTATCTAAGGCCTTAGCACTGACTTAAGTAGTGGCCAACATTTTAATATACACAGAAAATGCAGCCATTACTCTGACATTCAGTAATATATCCCAGCTAGTTTTAACGTGAATATGTGTATATATATATTTAACACACTGCAGAATAAAGGTGTGTGTTGTCACTGTTGTGCAGCCAGCTGTGGAGTTAAAGCTGCAGTGGCTGTTTGGTCAGCCTGCTTTGCCGGACGTGTCCTTGCCGTGTTTTGTGGGTAACACTGCCCCTGTCCTAGGTGCCCGGCCACTCCTATCAGTGCGGGGTGTGTCTGCAGCAGGTGCGCAGGGATGCTCTGCTCGCCTTGCCCTGCCAGCACTCCTTTTGCAAGGCATGCTGGGAGCAGCACTGCACTGTGCTTGTCAAGGATGGAGTGGGAGTGGGTAAGTCCCGACTTAATACCCACCTGTGCATGTCTGTGTACCCACCTGTGCACATGTCTGTGTGAATTTGTGTGTGTGTGTGTTTATGTTTGTGTGCATAGCTTAATGTGTGCTGGTTCATTTGGTGGATCTTTGTTGACATTTTAATTTACATGTGTTATAGCCCAAACTGTATGGAAAATTTAGTCTCTGATTGTAAGGAGCTGTGCAGTGTGTGTGGGCATGTGCAGGTATTTTATGTATAGCTCTGTATATGTACATCTGTTAAAACTATCAGCAGGTATTTCATGTACTTCTCCATGTTTTTTATGTGTCTTTATCGTTACACATGCCAGTGTGGATGTGTCATGTATAACTTGTGTGTACGCACGAGTGTTCTAGGGCAGGTATCTCAGATATTTCTGTCTGGTGGTATCTCTGCAAGTATTTCATGTATGTCTATGTGTCAGTCTGTGCAGGTATTCCAGTGTGTGTCTCTGTATCTGTCCTGGTATTTGTATGCGTGTGTGTCTGCACATGCTTATGTAGGCATTTCATGTGTAATTTATCTGTGTGCTTGTGTGGGTATCTCGGGTATGTGGGTTAGTTTTATATTACATTGTGGGGACCACAATGACCACAAAGATCTGTGAATGCAATCAAAAAACTAATAATGCAAAAAGTCTCATATTTAGTTTGGTTACTTGTGGTTAAGGTTAGGGATGGCTAGGGGGTTAAGGTTGTCATGTTGGGATTAGAGTTAGAAATGAATGGAGAGTACCCACAAAGATATAATTACAAACCTGCGTGTATCCGTGGAGGTATTTTGGATGTAATTCGGGATGTGTCTGTGCAGGTATTTCGTGCATGGCCCAGGACTGTTCCCTCCAAATGCCAGAGGACTCTGTGCTCCCACTGCTGCACGGGGAAGAACTAAAGGACAAATACAGACGCTACCTCTTCAGGGACTACGTGGAGGTCAGTCGGCCGCTCCGTCCTGGCCATCTGTCTGCCTCTGAGCCCGGCTGCAAATGGGGGAGGGGGGTGGCAGAGCGAAAATACACCCCCGTGCTAATTTAGCTGCCCTTGTAGTCATTAGGAAGTAAAGTCATTTATAATTAACAGCAGGTAGGAAATTAAAATGCAGCCCACACTTCCCTGGTGCATCAACAGGCTTTAAGGTTTTCGGCTGTGTATGTACAGCATGGGCTGATGATGGTGAGTGTGGGCTTTTCTCTGGGGTGGGACCGTCCCATTGCGGACACTCCTTCCACCACGTTGTTGTATTCGTCAGCAGATCTGTGACAGGGTCGTCTTGGCTTTGGTTTTTATGACCCGCCTGGCAGTCAGTATGTCTCGTCGCTCGTGACGCTGTCGTGCCGACTGTTGCCGTGTGTCTGTACCCGCGGGCTACATCGCGCAGGGGTCTCTGTGCGAGCACTTAGTGTCCATCTCTCTTCTGTCCCGCAGAGTCACTGGCAGCTGCAGCTGTGTCCCGGAGCTGACTGCCCAATGGTCATCCAGGTGCAGCAGCCGCGGGCCAGGAGAGTGCAGTGTAGCCGCTGCAGCGAGGTCTTCTGGTGAGGGACGCGCCCCGACAAGTCGCCCGAACAGCCGCCCACGCGGTACAGGCTGTCCCATGCTAGAAGCCTTTATTGCCTTTGTTAGCAGTGTGTCACCCTCGTCGCTCCTCCTCCCTCCCCTGCAGCTTTATGTGCCGTCAGATGTACCACGCGCCCACGGACTGCGGAACCATCAGGAAGTGGCTGACCAAGTGTGCGGACGACTCCGAGACAGCCAATTATATCAGCGCACACACTAAAGATGTGAGGGAGCCTCCTGGTGTCTGAGGCCTTTCATGCGGCCCTTGGCCAGTTTAGGCTGAGCAGCCACTATGGGTCTCCATGGCGTTCTTGCTGCTTACTGTCTTCTGTCTTTGGTTTCAGTGTCCCAAGTGCAATATCTGCATCGAGAAGAATGGGGGCTGCAATCACATGGTGGGTGTGTGTGAGATGCCGTAATCCTGCTGGCAGTAGAGCGTGTGTGTGTGTAATGCCGTAATCCTGCTGGGAGTAGAGTGTGTGTGTGTGAGAGAGCATGTGTGTGTGTTTTTATGAGGAGTCTTACAGCAGCTCCATGCACAGATACCGCATGTTTTTGTTTGTGTGTCAATGCTGAGGCAGAAGTACCAGAAGTTATTCAGAATTAACTTTGAGTTTGCAGCTGAGTGTGGTTTGGAGGGTGTGAGAAAAAAGCTGTGGGCTTATCCCTGCTGTTATGTCTTTTAAAATTTATTTTATAGCCTTCCTAAGTTCTCTCGAGAGAAGGAAGCCTCAAGGATATTGGCAGGTTTGATGGTTTGATGTCCACATTGTCTCTCATTATCTCTCTCTATCGTTTCTCTCATCTATCACCAGCAATGCTCCAAGTGCAAGCATGGTAAGGGACTCCTCTTTTGATTATTTAGTTTAGAAGTTGCTTTTACCCTTGTTGATAAGTGGGTATTTCTCAGGGTAGCTTGAGTATTGTGTATTACTTGAGTATTACTTCAGTATTAGCTTCGGTATTTAGTATTACAGACCCATAGGAAACTACCATCTCAGTCCAGCCTATCAGAGTCAGTATCTTACTAGCTCCTCCCCCACCCCACCCTCCTTTGCCGTGTTTGCCTGTAGATTTCTGTTGGATGTGCCTGGGAGACTGGAAGACCCACGGCAGTGAGTACTACGAGTGCAGTCGCTACAAGGAGAACCCTGACATCGTGAACCAGAGCCAGCAGGCCCAGGCTAGGGAAGCACTCAAGAAATACCTCTTCTACTTTGAGAGGGTGAGAGCCAGTCTACACACACAGCGACAAGCTGGAGTAGATGCTTATGAGCCTGTGCCAAAGGTTTGCTGTGTTTTATCAGAGTTGCACTTTGCTTGAATCAATAACTGTCAAGCCCAACAAAATGTAAGTGTTTTTGACACTAGCTTCTTAAAAGACGGATTTGCCTCCATAAAGATGATGAAAAATATTCTCTCAAATATAGAATGCATCTTTATCAGCCCACACTGTTTGTGTGTGTGTGTGTGTGTGTGTGTGCGCGTGTGCGTGTGTGTGTGTGTGTGTGTGTGTACAAACAAACACGTGCACACTCATGCTTCCACAGTGGGAGAACCACAATAAGAGTCTGCAGCTTGAAGCACAGACCTACCAGAGAATCCAGGAGAAGATTCAGGAGAGAGTGATGAACAACCTGGGCACCTGGATTGACTGGCAGTACATGCAAAACGCTGCAAAGCTATTGGCTAAGGTATGGACACCCTGCCTTCATATAGAATGCTGCTACCCCAGAGCACACACAAACACACAGTGCACAACAACGAAATGTGTCCTCTGCATTTAACCCATATGTGACATAGCAGAGGGCAGCTAATTCAGCGCCCGGGGAGCAGTGCTTGGGGGCGGTACCTTGCTCAGGGTACCTCAATGATTCAGCTTCCTCTTCAATGGGTAAAAATCCTGTATTGGTCCAATTATAAGACGAACCCCCACTTTTTAGAAAAAAAGTTTTTGGAATACGAAATCTTACCTTCATAAAGAAAAATCTTCGACAAGAACATATATGTTAACCAGCAACCACAGCTTAGGAAGCAACCACAGGCAATTGGATTACAATAAGTGTATTATTCATTATTCCTTTTTTTGGAATTTTTATCACAAACTTCCCAAACTCGAGGACGCAGAATGTTTTCGATGCAGCAGGCCCACAGGAAGAGAGTAAGAAACGTATTGTGGAGAAAGGTTGAGCCATGTTAATAAATGATATGACAGCTCTTTTAAAATGAATGTTACTCTCTATTGACAGCCAGTATCAGTTCAACGCGAACAGCGGCACTAGGGTCGCCAACTCTCACACATCTGGGCCGGTATTCATAAAACGTCCTAAGAATGGTCGTACACTTGGACTTAAGACCATTCTTAAGAGTTAAAAAAAATCTTAGCAAAAAATAGAACCTAAGAGCATTGTATAAAGCTGCTAAAAGTAACTTTCAGCAAAGTCTAAGCCCAATTCCTAAGTGCTGACGGAGCCAGCATTTAAGTGTCGTGAAATGAGGACTACAAATAAAATCCCGCCCCAGATACTGAGTTCAACCAATAGAGGAGCTGCACGGTGAATATATTAGTGACATTAAACCGTTAATGTACAGCTTTATACAACATACCTTTCTGTGATCATACCTTTAATTGCTTGTACGAAAATCTACCTAGCACACCACCAATCAATTTCCACTAATAGATGCACATGTACTATAAATTATGGGTCAAACGCAAAACTCATAGCAAGACATTGGATTCTAAAAGAACCAAACTGGACGACAAACAAAACGGTTCTTTTGGCACAGTTGGTGCTTAAATGGAAGGAGGTAGTGCGAGGAAAGTTTGGCCTAGCTGTTACAAGCACGGACAAAAAAAGCTTAGGAGGCTATTGCAAGCTCCGTAAATGCTGCGTCACCTCGGACAAGGCGTTCAGCAGAGGAATGTGAAAAAAGGTGGTATAATGTTCTATCGACCTCGCGAAAGGAAATCACAGTTTATAAAGCAAGCATGCAAGCTACAGGTTTGTGTCATTACTTATATTGCTCTTATGACCCTCGCTATAATAGATGATGATAATCTATTATTATTATATTTTTCCAGTTGCCAAAAACATAGCATCATTATCACCTTCAGTTCAACTGTAAGTTGAAGAATGTTTATGCATGCCACTTATTCTTAAGTCTTGGAGTAGGAACAAAATCACGTCACTCTTAGAATTGTGACGCATTTAAGAGTGAAATTTTACTCTGAGAAGTTTTATGCATACCGACCCTGGTGTGACTCTCACGCTCATGCAAAAAATATTACGGCGAATCTATATTATGATAAGTCAAAACACTCATTACGAAATATCATATTTGGCACCATCTATTGCCTTTCTTGCCTAAACCCTGAATATAAAACGACACCACATTTTCAGATGTATTTTGAGGGGGAAGAAACCTGTTATATTCCGGTCAACACGGTACATAAAAACGTGGAGGAGGAAGGTGAAAAAACATACCTGCAGTTTCTGACTGTTTTCTTAGAGAGTAGACATTTCTGACTATACCACCCTATGTAACATACATTGTATTTCCTGTACAAAATGTATCTGTTCATGGAATAATATCCTTAAAGCAGGAACATGCACACAGTATCATCATACTGACATGAGTAAATGTCTGTCCCTGCTGTCCTCAGTGCCGCTACACGCTGCAGTACACCTACCCCTACGCCTATTACATGGAGTCTGGACCACGCAAGAAGCTTGTGAGTTTTTGTTGTTTTTCTATCACATACCGATAAAGGTTTCAGGGTTACATTTAGTTTCTTATTTAGCTCAGGTTAAATACCTCTAAATTAAATGATGATTGTACAGACGCATCGGGATGCATCTTTTTGCATATACCCCATCCTGCTTTTGAGACATGTGTACACGCACACACACAGGTGAGAGTGAAACTTGGGGTCCGAGCACAGAGTCAGCCATTTATCCGCCACCCCTACAGCATCTTGGGGGTAGTTAAGGTCCACCAGAGTCTATTCTACCAAGGACGCATTGTAAGTAGTGATCACAGACACAGAGGCCTAATCCAATGAGCCATTCTCCATCCCACTATTTCTCACCCTTCTTCTCAGGGATCTCTAGATGGTCCACGTTTTTGTTTCTTCCTAGCTCCCAGCCAGACAGTCCACTTTTAAAAACTTGGACTGTCTGGGGGTTGCCAAGGACCAGTTTGGAAAAAACAGGTACAAGGGGTGCCATGTGGCTCAGCAGGTTATGGATCTGAGCCCATGTCCAGAAGGTTGTGGGTTTGAAATCCATGGATGGCAGAGTAATCCTATCACAGTTGGGCCATTGAGCAGGACTCTGTTGCTCCAGGGACCCTTTGAGCCTGCTACCTGACCCCAAGCTTTCCTCACTTGTGCAGTTCCTACAGCTCAGTCCCTTTCTGGGCTTTGATCTGACAGCCTAGAGCTTAAGCGTGGGCCACATGCATTAACGTTGTTTTCTCTTTGCCGCATCACGCCTCGGCCATGAAGTTCGAATACCAGCAGGCGCAGCTGGAAGCAGAAATCGAGAACCTGTCATGGAAGGTGGAGAGAGCGGACAGCTATGAACGGGGAGTTGGAGGAGGGGGGCTAAGTGCCAGCGACAGAGGGGTAAGAGGACAGGAAAGAAACATGATGGGAATGAGGGCTGCTTTACAACTATATAAATGCATGTGCATTTTTCTGATGAGTGCTGGTCATGACTGCTTGATTTCCGGTTCTGAACTCCTGCCTCCACGCAGGACCTGGAGAATCAGATGCACATCGCAGAGCAGCGGAGACGAACACTGCTCAAGGATTTCCATGACACCTGAAGCCCCTCTTCACTCTTTCAGCTTTTAGAGATCAACAGCACCCCCTCCCACACACCCACCCACCCCCCCCCCCCCCCCCCCCCCCCCCCCCCAACCCCACCTCACCCTCTCCATTCCCTGCTCTGGTCTTGTTTTGGTATGGGTGCATTTTTTTTTTCTTCATTTGGTTTAATCCTGCTCCACCCCATTCATGACATGAGACAGACGGAGACACACGCACACAAGGATGGTCGCAGAAAGACACCTGTACAAGGATGCACGCAGAACACAAGACATGCACCGAAACACGCACATGCGAAGGCACACACAGACATGCACTGGCTTTTTAACAAGCGTCAAGCCGCTACTGAAAGGGCCGGCAGGGGAGACGGACGTGCTGCGGTGACCAGGAGAGGCAGACTCTGTGAAATCAGAGACGGTGCCACCTAACTGCTGTCCTGTCTCCAACAATAACCCAGCTCTCTGCTCTTTCCCTTTTTCTCACATTGTTCATTATTATTTTTTGAGAAATGGTTGTTAATAGAAATAGATCATTTAAAGGGTTAAAAAAAGGAAAAATGTAATTTTCAAAGGTTGTACATTAATACAGAAATAGTTACTGAGAGTTTTTAAACAAGCTCTTGTGTCCTGTGTTGTTTGGTCTGTGTTATTTCTATTATCAAGCTAAATAAATCATATTTAGCTTTATTGATATGTGCGGCTGAGATAAAGACTAAGAAAACAACATGCTAGGATAAAAATCTAGGATTTTTATACTCAGATATCACATTACTACTATTCTAATGGATTTTCTAGATTATATATTTTATATATTTGATTTTTTTAAGAAATATGGTTTCACATGGTTTGTGTTCCTTGTTAGACTTCTTCGTCTAACAGGAAGCATTTCACAAAATATTTGCATGCCATCTGCAATTTAACTCCCCTAGAATCAGTCCTTTCGCATACAGACGAGATGAATTACTAATTTATAGTTGTTTTTTGCAGCATCATTGGAATAATATGCTTACTGTCATACATTTTAACTGAAAAAAATGTGAATGATTAAAATGCAGTGGAACTGTTGCTGATAAGATCTATTCACAAAAGTAAAGAACTGTGACAAAGGTGACTTTATTTAGTGAGCTGTCCCACACACGCAATGCCTCCTCTTACTTAGGAATGCACTCCAGATTAAATTAGACCACAAAGTGGATAACAATATTTCATGATGATGTATAGGACGTCCAATCAATGCAACCAAAGGTGACTCAAACTGAAGTTAGTGAAAGTTGTACACAGTACAAAAATCCCAAATGCTTACTATGATGTAGATCTTTTTTTTTTTTTACGTACAGTAACTTAGGAACTGATGAGTCTTATGTCTCTCTTGGATGTTCTGTTAAATGATTACAGTAAATGAGTGCACTGGCAAATTACATATAAAGCTACCAAAGTGACATACCATTTTCATGGCCATAGTATGACTAGGATACAAGCCTAAAGAAGCCATTAACCTGAGCAGACATACATTATTTAGTCTGGACAGCAAAGCTTTATAAGGAATTACTTAACTATAATTAGTAGATCACATGTGCAGCACATTTATCTGTTAACAGCTACTTTTCCAGTATAAGATTGCTATGAATGTGGAGCCTATACCAGGAAGCAAAATACACACGGCAGGGCAATACTTTACATGGTACGTCGGGCTGTCATATGGCAACTCATGCGCACAAACTAAAGGGAAATTTGGATAGACCATTCACCGAACTACTATCGGAGGAAACATGGATGGGAACGTTGCCTCACACTTCCAGGCCTCTGGTTCAAATCCCGCCCACGCGCTGTGTGTATGGATCATGGAATGATTCTCGGAATAATTATGCATATTGTTCTAGCGACTATATGCAGAATACGCAGTTGTGCATGGTTATATAGACTTAACATTATTGGACTGTAAAGTCTTTAACACGGGTTAGTATACTTCTCCAAACGTACGCTGTTTTTCCATAATTATTTTGTCAAATAAACTGCTTTGTTAAATCATCGAATATTATATTGAGTTTGTACTCGACTACTTATGCCTTGGTCTCATGCGGAAATTGCGTCACTAGAAGGATGCAGGGAATTGGCGGTCACAGTTATCCGCACGTGCTACATTCGCATTTAGCAGGATCACCGGAGCCATGGCGGACTACCTGATTAGCGGGCAGACCAGCTACGTTCCCGATGATGGGTTGACTGGACAGCAGCTCTTCAGTTGCGGGGATGGCCTCACCTATAAGTACGGTTATAGTTAGTCCTGTTCTGGGCTTTTTAGAATTATGGGAGGAAATTTTGTTAATTCCCGGCGTTTAATAGCTAGCTTGTCAGTGAGCCAGCCGGCTACCAACGACAGATATCTTAAGTAATGAGTTTAATTCGTATAAAGATAACAGACAATATCACTAGGCATTCATATCGGCTTGTCGGTTATGCTTCTGGCCGCTTAAAGTGTTATATTCAGATTACAAGCTGCTGTCATATTGGAATTGCGCTACTATCTGCGGCAATGTCATGAGAGGTATCCACCCCATAAATGGTAATAAAAGGGTGATTTTGGCGTATGGTCATAAGTATTGTTATGGAATTAGTCATATTTTGGGTAGATAAACTGAGGAAATACATTGTATCACGGCATTTTCCGTGTCTGTCCTATTAAGTAAAACAAAAGACATAGTTCCAGTTTACTGTATGTTTATATATGTAAACGTACTGCTTGTTACTTATCTTAGTTATGGTTTGATGAGGTGATAACCCTGTTGATATGAAGTTTCTGTGAAATTACGTCTCGGGAGAGGACTGTCGCGGCTCGCTAAGGGGGCTACATTGCTGTGCATACCAAGCGTGCCTCGGTGTTATTTTAAGCCATCATTTCAAGACCCGGCGCACGTGTGTTAATATCACCCTTTTGGGTTATGACAGTGAAGAGGCACGCGGTCCTTTAATCCCCGAAATTCCGAGTCAAACCGTAATAGTGAATTTAACAATTTTAATGTGTATTTACTGGTGGCAGGCTAAGGGTTATGCACATATCGTTGACGGCATAAAACAATGTGTTTTGTGGCCGATTTCTACCTTTTTGTGTTGAGTATTTTGGTGGATATCTAAATGTTTGAGGACTTGGGGGCTGTTTCACGCAAAGTGTTGAATAAGGTATCTGCCAGTGCATTCAGTACCTTTATGCATATATTCTGCTTTTCCCTTCCAGTGATTTTCTTATTCTGCCTGGGTACATTGACTTTACAGCGGACCAGGTGGTGAGTGAAGGCTCTCTTACTATTTGGCTGAGTGACTGAATGAATAAATAAAGCGACCCATTTCTCAGGTTGCAAAAATCCTGAGTGTGATCAGACAGAAGCTGTAGGTCTGTGTCTGGGAGAGCTTGACCACTAGAGGGGATAAGTGTCTTAAAGGGGCAGGTTTTTAAATGTCCAAAATGAACTCGAAATATAACACTGCTTTTAAGAATCCGTATGAGTGTACATTTGGTTTTTAGCCAGTTTGTGAAATGTATAAACATTGAAACTTTTTATAAGCACATAATGAAATCAAAAATCATGCCTATGCTTATGTTGGTGTATCTCTTATTTCATATTTTTATAGCAACTCCATATGTTTTTTGTATTCAAAATGTTCAAAGTGTAGTGGTGAACAAGGCTTTATATGGGTATATTATGATGCATTACAACATCGTTAAGAAAGAACAATAGAAAAACAGGGAAAAGACTGAGAAATGAAAGCAATAGTCAGTTATGAAGTCATGTAAAAATTTAAATGGTTATATATTTGTATTAAAGGCATTTGTTTTGCTTTTGACCACAGTTAAATGACACAGTACGAACTTTGAGAAATATCAGAACTAAGTTATGTGATGCATTGTTTTTTTTCCCCTTATGTCAATCCTGAGCGAGAGTTAAATGAGCAGAGATCGGATCTTAAGATCTGAGTTTCCCTCAATTCTGTACCCAGATTGAGCTGGCATTAAAGGCATTTTTGCAAGTCTCTTCTGAAGTAACAAATACTTTTCAGGAAGATTTAATATTCAGATTCTAATTTAGACTGAAACAAACACGGTCCTGCAATCGCATTAATGCCTAACTGAATGTTTGCCTTCCCCCAGGACCTGACGTCGGCACTAACTAAACAGATCACCATGAAGACTCCTTTCGTGTCGTCACCCATGGACACGGTGTCAGAGTCAGGGATGGCCATCGCCATGGCGGTAAGAAGGCTCACATTTGTGACCTTGCTGTGTGTCCAGTACTTGCGCGTGCTCTGTCTCATTTCTCCCTCTCTGTTGGCCTAAGCTCACCGGAGGCATTGGTTTCATTCATCACAACTGCACGCCAGAATTCCAGGCTAATGAAGTGCGCAAAGTCAAGGTAACAGTCCTCTTCGCCTCTTTAATCTCTTGTTCTCTCAGTTTTGGCCCCCAGTCTGTTTACTGCCTTACATTCTCCCGTCATGCTCTGTTCTTCCTTTTTCTCCCTTCTTTGATGCTTTGAGGCTTCATTCACACAGATGCACTTGTTCTCTCTCGTTCTCTCCCTGATCCCTTTTCTGCTGCTTATCACCACTCATTACCGCCTCCCTCAGTCGTCCTCTTGCGTCTGTATGTCTCCTGGTGAAGCCGTGCTTCTCCTACTGGTCCTGGGATTGGCCAGAGTGCACATGCTGCCTTTTTGTCCCCTTTCTTCCTTGAAATTTGTTGGGTTTCACTGAGCTGCTATGAAAAATTAATTGCATGTAGCAGCTGCTTCTTATTCTAAGACTGCAGTTTCAATGGGATGAGCATTATAGGGATGGTTGTGTGACTAAAAGATTCTGCATTAACTTAATTTGAGTCCTAAGATGCATTCAGTTGTTCACTTAACCTGCATTTGAATAATGAATCTTATAATCTGTGCCTTAATTACTTTCCCTACTGTTACTCCTTCAAAAAATGTTAAGCTTACGGTTGTCAGAATGAATTGAGCAGGAGTGAAAGTTAAGTGTTGGGCTCAAGGAATCGCACTAGGCCTGCAGGGCCGAGATTGAGCAGCACAG